TCGGGACGAGCAAACTGCCTGCGAGAGGGGGTCACTTCTCCCCAAATTTCTCCTCCGCTCGGTCCCAGCTCCCGGCAGGATCTCGTGTCCCCAGAACTGAACCTGCCTTTGTTTCATGACTGCCATCCTCTTGTCGCAACTCCTCTGCAGCTGGGCTGCTCGGGGTGAACCGGGCGGGCTGGCGTGGGCTGGAGCTGCTGGGACCGCGGCTCCCAGGCGTGTGCCAAGACCTTTTGGGGAAGAAGCTGGGGGCTTGCTAACGCATCGGGCAGAGCTCTGCAAACCTCTGCCTTTTCCCTTCCTGACGCGATTCAGGAGCGAAAGCTTGAGCTGATCACGGCTGCAAGGACCCGGGTCCTGAGCGACGGCTCGACAGCGTCGCGCTGAACCCAGGCAGATCAGGGGAGGGTAATCCTAAATCCCTACCCAAAGAGCAAAATGCAGCAGGCCATCCAGCAACGCGTCACTCCAGAGCAGCTTTTCGCCTATTTTTGAGCACACGAAAGGTTACGTGTCCTTTTGAGGTGGATCGGTGGTGTCAAGCTGCATCACCATACCTCCGTGGCCTTGAGCCGTCTTCTGAGCAGAGGGCGTTGGAGAGGCAGCAGAAAGAGCCAGGGATTGAGGGGTGGGGGGTGTAAATCCGGACCGGCTTCCCCAGCCCCAGCACGGATACACCATGCCGGAGCACAGGGCAAATAGGCAAAATAGCCACGTTCATCTTAATGCCCTCCGCTCGGAGATGGTGGCATTATAAATGTGTCCTTTGTACTTCGTGCAGCTAATTAAAGGCAGTCCCATGGCAAGGAAATAAGAGAAGTTTATAAAAAACATTTGCATGGTTCTTTTTAATCTATACTTCTCCCTCCGCAAGCCAGATGAAGAAATGCTGGGGTTTAACTGGGCTTGCTCATTTAAAAATAAAAAGAGAGCGAGCAACAGAAATATCACGTCTTGTATGCAATTTCCATACAAATAGGAACTCATAAAAGCAATAAACATCTTTGTTTCAGACATAATTTTTTATTAAATGGGGGAGAATTAAATGATTGCACCAAGGATGGAATATGGCCAAATGGTGAAACATTTGTTTAGTATTAGGACAAGAAATCCTTGTTTTCTTTATGGACCTCAGTGTGTCTTCTCCTGCCCGGCTAGATTTGGGTGAGTACTGCAAAACATTCACGAACGTTCATTTAAATTCCTCATGGCTTTGGGGGATTCAACCGCATTCATAGTTTTGTTTGCTTTTCTGGGCACATCCATGAAAATGGGTGTTTGTTTGCGCAAATATTTAAGGAATGAAATGAAAAAATCCCAAAGGTATTCACTAGTTAGTCTGGAAACGCCTTTTTTTTTTTTTTAATATATATAGAAAAGGGATTTTTTGGCTTTCCAGCGGGGCGGGCAAAGGAGCCCCACGTGGGAGAGCGGCACCAATCCCTGTTTGCCCACGCCGGATTCACAACTGAGTAAAATATCTGGCGGGGACTGAAATGAATTTGCCTCCAGTCGACGGTTTGGGGATATAAACCCCATTTTTGGCGGCCAGCGGCGGTTTGGCCCGGGGGCTGCCTTTGCGTCTCCTCAGTTCTCTTGGAAACTAGCCAGAAGTTGTACGATAAACTCGGCTGAACCGGCACTGGCCCGAGTTGCCGGCACAGCACGTGGGACCGGACCGAGCCGCGGCCGCGCTCCTTCGCAGGGCTGCGAAACACTTTTCTCTCCTTTTTTCGCAAGGCAAAAATAACTACGTCTTTTTCTGCTCCATCCAACCACCTTGCGGCTCGACTCCTGGGTCCGGCCGTGCCCTCCCGGGACCTGAGAAGCTGCCGTCGCGGTGGCAGCCGGTTGCCTCTAAGTCATCAAACCACAAATGTCACATCCGTGAGTTAGTTCTTCGTTACTGATGGCTATCGGGCCGGGGAGGCCTCAGGCACAGGGGCTGGTTTCTCAACAGCCACCGCTGCGTTTTCAGTGGAAACCTGCAGGGACGGCCACGGGGTGCGATGGTCCGTGGGGCCACCGAGGGAGGAGAGAGGTGCTGGCAGCTCGGGTGCTCTCAGACCTTTCCACTGAGGGTTGGGAGTTATCTTGCCTTGGGGTGAGCCCTGCGAAGGCTCGCTGGTGGCACGGGCTGGCTCCTCTGCTCGGGGTGTCCATGCTGGGCTCGTTCGCCTCTTCCTAGCTCAAGTTGCCAATGTTTGACGTTTTTTCCTTGATTTTCGTAAATCTAAAAGCGTGCGGGAACAGCTCATAAACTGTCACCGTCCGTCCACGCTCCCCAGTGAAAATGAAACGGTGTTATATCACTTTTTTTGCCTCTTTCTCCATCGTGTTGGTGTCCTCGTGGGCAGCTGCCCTCGCCCCACTGCCTTCCCCAGGTGGCTTCATGCCCTTGCGTGGGAGGCAAAGGGCACCGAGCCTTGGTCCTGGCATCCAAGGAGGGAATTTTACTGTTTCTTTTGCAAATGCACGAATGTAGGCGCAGTCTCAGCCCTGTCTGGCCGTAGTGCAGTGCTCAGTGCTGCTCTGAAGGAACTGGGACTGATCCTGGGGTTTAGTCCCTGCTTCGCTGCTTCTCCTGGGCTCACCTCCGGTTGATCGTGGCAAATTTCCTCCTGTCTCTGCGCCTTCTTCTCCGCTTTGCTAAAGGGAGCGGGTGGTCCATGCGGGCGTGGGGAGCCTGAGGGTCCCTGCTAGCCCTTCATGGCCTCGTTAGCCTAATGAACAGGCAGGGTTCTGCCTACAGCGGGGAGCGTGGGGGCTCGGATGGTCCCTGCTGTGCTGCTCTGCCCCCAGGGAAGGCAGAAGGGTTGCGGCCCAGCACAGGGCAGCCTTGTCGGGGGGAGTCTGAAATCCCCCCCGAGAACATTGTCCGCCCCGTAGGGGAAGAAATAAGCCATGATCCCATGGGGGACCCACCTCGTCCCCGAAATGTGGCAGCTTGAATGGACAAACTGACTTCTTCTGGCCCTGGACCTGCCCCAGCAGATGCTGGAGGAGGAGCAGGAGGAAACCCTGCGGTGACGGAGCTGGTGCCAGTCACCTTTGGCTTCTGAAAGCGGGCGATGCTGACTGCCCTGGTGCGGCAGGCGGATGTCATTTCTTCTCTGGAAGGTCACTGCGTCCGTGCCTTTCCCCCATTTGCCACAAGCACGAATTAGTCAGACTTTTGCAATTGCTGCTTTGGGGGCTGTGGTCTCGGGCTGCCGCTGCGCACCGGGGCTGACGCATCCCGGGGCATGGGGAAGCCGCCCCGGTGCTCCGGCCGTGCCCCAGCACACTGCCTCTCCTTGCTGCACCCCCAAGACACCAGCGGCTTTCCTCGCCTGTCAGGGCAGAGGTGATGGCCCCGGCTCACCCCAAGCAGAGGTTTCTTTTTCCACCCTTCCTGTAACTGGCCACTGCAGGATTCCTGCTCGGCAAACTTCCTTTTAATGGATTCCTGTGTTTCTTCCTAACCACAGAAAACTGTAACCCTGACAGTATCTCGAGTGGTTTTTCCTTCCTCCCGCCATGCTCTGCTCTGGGCAATGCCTCCGGTGGAGGCTGGGTGAGCGGGCACCGGGAAACACCGTGCACGTGTAATGGTGTCACCGAGCTTTGCCGTCGTGTTTCCCTAAAGGCAGGGGTTTTGTCTCATCCTCTACCACCCAAGGTGATTTTATTAATATTATTTTTTAACATACGGGTAACTAAGCTCCCCACCAGCACGACGGCAGTGCATCGCACCGGGGGTCTGCGGTGATCGGGTGCTGGGGTGGGAGACACGAGCACGTGGACCGTGCCTGCCCGCAGCCGGATATGTTATCTGTGTCTGCAGGTGGGAAGAGCAAGGCAGAGCCCGTGTGCTGGGGAGAGGAGGGATGCCCCCGTAGATGTCTGCACACCCGTGAGCATTGCACTCCCCGTGGGCATTTGCACGCCCATGAGCATTGCAATACCCGCAGATGTTTGCACACCTGTGAGCATTGCACACCCAGGAGCTCCCCTACAGTCACAGCTCAGCCACAGCCTGCTCTCACCCAGCGCCCTGGGTCCCTTCACCCCCCTACCCCTGCGCAAACCCTCCCTCTGCCCCCCCCAGCTCCCCGGGGATGGAGGGCGTGGGGAGTTCCAGTACCGCCCCGGCCCCACGCACACGCGCTCGCCCACATGCCGGGGGCCTGGCGCGCAGCGCCACGTGGCCACGAAATCCGGTTTGCCTCCATTCGTCCTCCCCTCCTGGGGAAGGCTTGTGTGCTCGGAGCTCGCGGGCTCCTGATTGACTGTCAGTGGCTTTGCCTTTTCCAAGGGAACCCCGCTGACTGGTGGCATGTCTTTTTTTTTTTTGTCTTTTTTTTTTTTAATATATTTGTGTGTGTGTGTGTGTGTGTGAACGAGTATAAATCCATTGTCTCTCATCACCTTGTTATGATCTAATAGGGGTAGAGAGACAGTGGCGTTCCCCTTTGCTGAGCACTTTAATTCATGATGATTTCTTAGACTTGATCTCCTCCGATATGTCGTCAGTGTTTGCGGTCCACTGTTTTGGCCGCGTACGGTTTGGGAAACAAAGAATGAGCTGTATGTTTGCAGGCTCAGATCCACACATGGTCGACATTAGGAGCAAGAATGTGACTTCCCATCCGAAGCGATGAGCCCAAGCCACGGGCCACGCCGTAAATACTCCCCGAATGAGGCTGAGCAACGGAGGGGAGAACATTGAAAAACCTGCCAGGAGGTCTCCAGTGGCATTAGGGTGCTGGCGATGGGGGCTTGGGGTCAGCCCTGAGGATGCATGTCCCCTCTCCCTCCTGCTGCAGGGTGCTTTTGCACCTGATTTTTCTCCTGGGTACCTCCAGGGCAGGAAGAAAGTATCGCTGCAGGGGTCATGTCCATTAGCTGCGCAAGCGATGCAGGATCCAGAGGGCTGAGCTCTCCCTCAGGGCTTCCCATCACACTTTCATTTTCCTTGGCTCCGGTGCTTCATCCCTGACGTGGCGGGAATGGAGCAGGCGCAAAGGCTGGGGCTGAATCTGCACTCCCGGCCCCTTCATCCCAGAGATCCCAGCAGCCTTTAACTTCAATTCTTGGCCAAAAAACATTAGCCTTGCCCTGTCACTGGTATAACCTCTGCGGACCCTGCGGCGAGCGTGGGCGAGGTGAGACCCTGCGCCGTCGGCCGGCTTCTGCTGACACCCCTCCAAAACTGAGGCTGACCATCTTGCTGAACGAGGATTCGTGATGCACCGCTGCAGGGGAAGGCGGAGGGAACGGGGTGCCGAAAGAAGAGCTTCTTTTCAGGGTGGGGATGTGCCCTGTGTTGTAAGAGAGGAGATATTCGGGTGCACCAGGCTGGGGGGTGCTGATGGCAGCACCCTGGGGTGGCGGAGCTGGGTGGGAGGAAAAATGAGTGAAGACACGCTGCAAATCTGGTACGGTGCCCCCAGTTATATGCAGGCGATCGGCATTTGCTGGAGCATGGGGCAGCATCCCCGACGTTCATGCTGGCTGAAACCACAGATGCTTCAGGTTTTTTGGTTGCAAACACAAATCCTCCTCCACCCTCTGGACCTGCTGCCGCTCCCTGCCTTTTCCGGAAAAATTTCTCTGCGTTTCCACCCATTTCTGCCTCTTCCCTTTGCCATCCTGGCCTCACCGGGGCAGCTGCCGCGCCGGCGGCGGATGTGGTTTCCCGGCCGGTGGGGACGACGAGGCCCTTCGCAGAAGCACCCCCAGGGGGGCAGCTCCCTCCTGGGCACCCCCTGGCAGAGAAGGGCGTGTGGGAAAGGGGGGAACGGAGAGCACCCACCTCCCACGCAGGGCACCAGCATCCCACCTCGGCCGCTTCGGAGAGGGCAGGATGCGGCCCCAATGTACCGGGTGCTGTACGGACCATCGTGACGCCGAGATGCACTGGCAGCCTAAAGCAACACCCGAGCTGGCCACGACAGCGGTCTGCGGGGTGCCAGGCACAGCCTTCGACCGCAGTGTTCTCCTCCTCCTCCTCGGCTCTTGTCTTTCTAAAAATGCTTTAATTCTTTATTTTTTTATTTTTTTTTTCCAAGAAAGTGGGACAGCCGACGCGTCTGCAATCTGGGGGTATTTTCCATAACATAAACATATTAAAAAGAAAAAGAAAAGGGAAAATAAAAAGAAACAATGATTTTCCATTCCCACTGGAAGCAGCGAGTGCGTTTGCAACATGAGGAACGTATTACTCAAGCTATTGTAAAATAAAATATAAGAACAACCAAAATAGGAGGAGAAGGGAGAGATTTAAAAAAAAAAAAAAAAAGGCCTCAGTTGGGAAGGGAGACACTGAAAAATGGGCTTTTTTTCAACAATCTCTGTTGTGCAGGAGGGCCCTGTAGAGACCTGACCTTTGCCTCTGGGATGGCCGGATCCTGGATGGAGGGATAAGAGGCTCCTGGGTTTGTATTTCCACTTGGGGAGATGCAGCCCTCCCCGTGACGGCTGGGAAGGGACCTCCTACCACCCTGGATGGTCCCATCCCCCCAGCGAGGAGCATCTCACGAGGGATTCGTGTCCCCGAGGTGCCACCAGTTTCACGGCCACGATTCGGGGCAGCGGGTGGCGAGGGATGTGCTAGCGGTGCCCAAATAACCGCCGGCACCAGCCACGCATCCCGCGCCCCCCCAGCCCGCCCCGCCGGCGTCTGGGGCACCGACTGCTGAGGTTTCACCGGTCCCTTTGGCATCGTGGCAGGGTTCGACCTCATGACCACAAGCTGTTGGCGTGGGTTAGAAGCTCCCAGCCGGGAGGAGGCACCTTCCAAGGGTCTTTTCTCCTGGTAATGATGGGATTTAGGGCTCCAGGGCGGCTTTTTTTTTTCCAGTCGCAGTGTTTATGGCAGCTATACTGGGATGTGATTTCACAAGGCAGCATGGTTTTTGTTAAAATAGCTTCTAAAAAAAATCAAAACAAAATGGTAGGAATGATGTTAGCGGCACAACCCTGGACCAAAGTCTGCCCTGGCTTCTTGCACCCTCTGCGCCTCCTGGGTCCCGGCCAGGGCTCAGTCTGGCACGGGGACAGACAGACAGACAGGCAAAGGGTGTCGCAAACTCTCCGCGTGCCGATGGAGAGCGTGCCAGTGCCCGTGATTGCGGGACAGGGTGAGCTGGTCGTTAAAAGATACTCATTGTGTTAACGAGCGTTGGTCGGGGCTTTGCAAGAGGTTTCCCGCATGGCTCCGGGTGCAGCACCAGCATCCCAGGATGGAGCCGACAGCACGGGGTCCGTGTGTCTGTTAGATGGGTGTTGGTTAAATAGTGCTTCTCTTGCAGCTGGAAGGGAGTTTTCTTGGAGGAAAACCTCAGCAAGCGACTGGAGCGGTTGCTTTCTGATCTCTGGAGCAAGCACGTGGGTTATTCCCAGGAGCGGCACGTTTCCTAACCAACAACACAGCCCGCGCACGCCTCCCGCCCAGCTGCTGCCACTAGCGGGGCTGTTACAGGAATATCCCCAGCTGCAGCTCGATTTCTCTCCCAATGAGAAGCCAAAAAGCCAGGGACGAAGCTACACTCAATTGCAAATACTAAAAATTCCCGCGAAAATTGCCTATTTCCATTCCCGTTCATATTGCTTACAAAATATTTAAAGGAGTATTGCCCCCTGCATCCCACGCTCAGCGATGGTGGGTGCAAGCCAGTGGCAGGAAGATGCTCGAGCTGGGAGCGGGGCCACGCACCGATGGGGTGCACGGAAAAGCCGGGGAGGCTGTTTCTCCACAGCCTGGCAGACATTAAATGCCAGACACGGGCTGCGCCGTTTCCCTTTAAACTGGAAGCATATGCGTGGAGATAATTTAAGGACAGAGCACGGTGCCGTAATTTCAGTGACTTGAAGTCAGGATTAAACTACTTAGCAGGGATTTGCGAAAGGCCATGCCGTTTTCCCTCATTAGGAGAGAGAAAGTGCCGGCCAGAGAACGTAAAGACTAAATCAGATGTGCTGTTCCAAAATTAAGCCCCTGTTCTGCAGCTCCTTTGCACCGTGCCCCATTTTACTGGCCACTTTTGTGCCCAATTACCTTGAACCCTGTAATTAAACACCTTTTTTTATTAGCCCTGGGTTGGTTTGGAAAATCTTGCCGAATGAGCGAGCCTACCATTTTTTTTCCACAAAACTCAGCAAAACTGCCAGGCTGGGAGGAGCAGCCCCAGCCCCGACTCCTCGTCCCTAAGCGGGGTGGTGGGACACCCACCAGCATCTCGGCCCCGTTCCCATGGGGGTTGGATCCCATGCACGTGCTTTAAACCTTCCTTACCTCTGCAGCTAATAGGGACCTCTAAGTGGTAAAGCCTTTCAGACCCGAATTTACCCCATGTTAGCGTCGTGCGTTTGCTTTTTGCACCTCGAGCTGGGCACAGAGCTTCACTTCATTTGTTTTTTCCCAAAAGATCACGTTTCTTCTCCCGCTTAGCTCTGCTTTCACCAAACGTGGCAGCCCTGCGCTCACAAGCAGGGGCTCGACCCGCTCTTGCAAGCCCAGGGGCTGCTGAATCCATCACAGCTTGCTTTCTCCCGTCGATTTGGGGACTTCTGGTCTGTTGTAGGAAGGTCTGAGTTTGGGTCAGGATTGTGGAGATGTTTCGTGGTGGAGCGGGTGCTGGTGGGACCTCGGTGTGCATCAAGGTGTTGCTGGGAGCCAGAGCTGGGCAGTTCAATCCTGAGTCCTCCATCCTGCAACTCTCCCCATCGCCTTCCTCCCTCAGATGGAGGTCAGTGGGATAACATATGCAAACGAGATAGTTTCTGATCAGCCAACGCTTTAGTTAACTCTTTTGAGCCCAAACTGTGCTAGCTGGCACCACCAACACACATTTTTCTCCTGTCTCTCCAGGGCTGTGATGCCAGAGTTCATCTTCATTTACTCTGAGACAGCAGTATAGGATATTATTAAAATGCAAAAACATTGCTCATATTTACTAGAAATACGTGCCTATCCATCCTCCAGGGTTTGTTTTGCCCAGGTAGCCCCAGCCAGAGGGGACGTTATCCTTGAGAAATGTGGCTCTACATGCTGTGGTTGGATCTGGCCGGGGGAAGACAAATGGGGTTAGTTAATGGTGATGAAGGGAGCCCACAAAAAAAGTTGAATCTGTGATGGTGGGAGGGATTGGGACCCACAAAGTCAAAGCTTTGGGTCCGTGATGGGACAAGCAGGTTGCCTACGATGCCGGCTCCCAGCACCTCCATCCCAGCTGCACCGAGAGCCAGACGCCCTTCGCAGGAGGGGTTAAATGGGACCGGCAGTGCTGGGATTCCTCCTGCGCTGCCTGGAAAGTCAACACATGCTTGGTGTAGCGGGTGGATTAGCCAAGCCCTTAAGGTGGCATCTTTTAGTCGTTTCAAACCTCTTTCTACCTCGACAGCCAGCAGGCACAATTTAACCCAACACCCATTGCTTGGGTGGTCAGTCTCACCATCCCACCCCGTGTCGGAGGAGATTAAATACCCTCATCATGTCCAGCAAGAGCAGGGGCATTGGGATACGCTCCTGAAATGGGGAATTCACAGTTTGTCTCCC